CCCCCTTGGAAAGATTCTGGCTACGCCCCCGTCCACATACAAAAGGAGATCAAGTTGGCTTTAAGTCGAATGACGGGCAAGTGGGCGCTCGGTTCATCAATGCATGCCTAAGGCAGGCGGCTTTTCGAGAGTTTATGTTCTACTGTGTTGCGATGTAAGGGAAGATAATAAGGAACTAGATACTGTAGCAGGTGTCCAATCTATGCTTGACACTGTAATGAATAGCGATGCTGGTCGACAAGCATGCGACAAAGCAGTATTAACATCAGTTCGCAGTAACTAATCTTAATTAATAAGGAATAGTAGCATAAAGAATAGTAGCAATTGTAGCATAAGGAATATCTGAAAGAAGAGCCTCCATTTTGTGCCATTCTTTACAGGAGAAACTCGGGCTTTACGGTTTGCGTCTTCTTCTTTCCTTTTGGTGGTTAGCATTTGGAGCTTCCGAACTTGTTTCCGCCTAAAATGCTGCTGTAAATTTTGCATCTTGAAAGCAGCTGGCGAAAAGTAGGTGCATGAAAACTCCTGGCGCACTATTGGCCATTGATTGACATTCAAATTTCTGACCAGCTTAGCCCAGATCGTATTCGTCTCCCCAATGGTCCAAAATGCCTACCTGCTCGCGAAATTTGGTCTCCCCAGGAAAAATAATGTTGAAATGAGCAAATCATGTTAGGAAACAGGATAGTCTTATTTGCCGAATGGCAAAGTTGAGTCGAAAAGGCAAAACTGTACACCAGTGAGAAACAACTGTAAATGTATACCTAGTATGGCAGTCATGGCATTAAATTATTTCCAAAATGTGTCACGTGGATCAAGAGCGCACAATGCCCTCCATCTCTACATCCCCCCCCCCCTCCCGGTCACCGTGCTTGTTTCCCAGAAAATGTAAACTCCGAGTCTGGCCCCCACGTTTTGAAGCGCTCCTACGTCTTTGAAAACAATTCGTCCTTTTTCAGGGTATTGATTTGGCATTGACGTCTTCCTCCATGCATGCGTTCAGCTTCGCTGTGCATTTTCGTCACTAGCTGACGCAACGCGAATATCGTAAAATTTAAGCACAGGTACGTACCCGAACAGGTGCACACGGCATCTGCTGCGTCTCTGTCCATTCGCAGAGAACATTTCGACAATGCCGGGAAGGTTCTGTCAGACGCAAGCAACGCCGTTCGAACCATATTAGTTCGATGATATGATGATATAAATTATCTACCGTAAATCTGTGCTCAGTGGCCAGTGCACATGTAATCCTCATTTAAACTTTTTTACCAGACGCGAATTCCAGCGCAAACAAAACTCCGGCTGGGACGCAGCAGCGTTGCAATCCGTTTGTACGTGTTTGACCTACGCTCTACAAATTCGCACCACCTTACTCTTACCACCATCAGAGCGGGACAGAACGCCCGTCGCGGCTCTGGCTTCGGCCCGTGACGTCACACGGGAGCAGCCAGTCGTGCCGCCAGGCGGCCGGCGTGGTTTGTGGGGGCTGTTCGATCAGTGACGAGGTGGTGACCCGCCAGCCTGCGGTGTACACGGATCGCTGGGAGCCGCCAGCCTACGCTGCATAAGGCTCGCTGGGAGGCAGACCACCGGGCACAGCATGAAGTTGCGCCGCCTGCGAGAAGTATCCAGCTGCTGACTAGCAGTCCGGTTTCATCAAGTTTTCTGGCCTAGAAAGGCGGGCTGCCTGGTCCTGAATTCGGATGAAGCAACCCGGTATTTCGAGCCGGGTGTTCCGGGGTGGAAAACTTGGTGGGAACCGGGCTTAAGCCGCTCCAACATTTGACCGCCGCCGGCCGGCTTCTCCCAATGGCCGGCGAGGATCTAACCACGCCGGCAGGGAGAGTTGAGTTCAGTCCAACTTTTACCTGAGCCGCCGCCAGCGAAAGACCCGGAAAGGCAGCGGATTGTGATCTCATTGTGATGCAGAGGGGCATCTCATTGCGATGTGCGCGTTTTGGAAGGGCGACAAGATGAGGCAGGTATGTATTCAAGTGTGCAGACTTGCTGATGATCTCTCTCTCTCTCTCTCTCTCTCTCTCTCTCTCTCTCTCTCTCTCTCTCTCTCTCTCTCTCTCTCTCTCTCTCTCTCTCTCTCTCTCTTCTCTCTCTCTCTCTCTCTCTCTCTCTCTCTCTCTCTCTCTCTCTGTCTCTGTCTCTCGCTCTGTCTCTGTCTCTGTCTCTGTCTCTGTCTCTGTCTCTGTCTCTGTCTCTGTCTCTGTCTCTGTCTCTGTCTCTGTCTCTGTCTCTGTCTCTGTCTTCTGTCTCTGTCTCTGTCTCTGTCTTGTCTCTGTCTCTGTCTCTGTCTCTGTCTCTGTCTCTGTCTCGTCTCTGTCTCTGTCTCTGTACTCTGTCTCTGTCTCTGTCTCTGTCTCTGTCTCTGTCTCTGTCTCTGTCTCTGTCTCTTCTCTGTATGTCTCGTCTCTGTCTCTGTCTCTGTCTCTGTCTCTGTCTCTGTCTCTGTCTCTGTCTCGTCGTCTTGTCTCTGTCTCTGTCTCTGTCTCTGTCTCTGTCTCTGTCTCTGTCTCTGTCTCTGTCTCTGTTCTGTCTCTGTCTCTGTCTCGTCTCTGTCTCTGTCTCTGTCTCTGTCTCTGTCTCTGTCTCTGTCTCTGTCTCTGTCTCTGTCTCTGTCTCTGTCTCTGTCTCTGTCTCTGTCTCTGTCTCTGTCTCTGTCTCTGTCTCTCTGTCTCTGTCTCGTCTCTGTCTCGTTTGTCTGTCTCTGTCTCTGTCTCTGTCTCTGTCTCTGTCTCGTCTCTGTCTCTGTCTGTCTCTGTCTCTGTCTCTGTCTCTGTCTCTGTCTCTGTCTCTGTCTCTCTCTGTCTCTCTCTCTCTCTCTCTCTCTCTCTCTCTCTCTCTCTCTCTCTCTCTCTCTCTCTCTCTCTTCTCTCTCTCTCTCTCTCTCTCTCTCTCTCTCTTCCCCCCTTACTAGCTGTGCTATCTAACTGTCGACGAAGACCACACACCATCTGAATGGCAAATATAGATGGCCCTATCGTCTTCTAAATGACATCCAATGCAACGTTTTGCTGAGAAATAGCATACGAAAACATCGTCTTTTGTAAAGTTTTGTTTTCGAAAGGTGTGTTCGAAAGTATCGTCACGTGTTATTGTGAATTTGCGGACAGGTGCTACTAGGCTCCAAAAAGAAATTCCGATTTATCAGATCTAGATACTTTCTGCACATCTGGCGACAATTTCAACTTTTTTTGCGCCCCGGCCGATCCGCCTGTTTTTCCGGGCCGGATAACTTAATGGGAACCGCGTTATAAGTCCTGTTCAGACATTTAAGGCCATCCGACATCGTTGCTTGATCAGCAGGGCGCCCGGCTGCCCTGGGGTGCCCAGACCATGGACTTGCGGTGGGAGTTGAAGGAGCGGCACGGTGGTAGCACGTCGAGTGGAGGATGTATGATGCATGCATGATGTATGTATGTATGCTGAATGCTTCGATTGGCTGCACATGTGAATGGGAGCGCAGGGTCCGATCAAGATTTGTTTTTTATTGCTGAACACAACAGCGTTCCGACATGTATTCCTTACGCAAGTTACGCAAGAGGAAGAGCAGGAAGGATGAGGCTGAGTAGGCCTCAGCTTATGGGTTCAGTAAGCTGGGAAAAGCTTAGCGGACTAGACTGGACTTGAATGGACTGAACTGGAATGGACTGGACTGGGCTAAGTTAGGATGAGATGGACTAGACTAGACTGGGTTAAACTAGACTAGACAAGGCCGGACTAGACTAGGCCAGACTAGACTACATTGAACTACACTGGAGTAGACTAAACTAGACAGCACTGGGCTACACTGGACTACATTGGACTGGACTAAACTGGACTACACTACCGCACAGGCTGGCTCCGAACCAGGCTAGGACAAGCCCATGCTAAATGTCTGCGCGAAACACTTTGATTCCGGATGGAAACAAAATGAACCAACATGAGCCTGATTTTTGTCGTAAAATAGAAGCAGTGTCAGTCTTTTGATCACAGGCATGTTGACGCGAATAAAAATGTCGTGCTACGCATGCGTCGTGACAGCCAGCACTTCGACCAATCATTATGGCTGTTCGTCCTCAAAATAAATATATATGTATCTTTCATGAAGCTCGTAGGATGGCTTCGCTCATAAACTCCGGTTAGCAGAATCGGCTCCATCATCGGAATGGATTCCGGTGGGAAGTTTTTATTTTCGACAGCAATCGGAATCGACTGAAGACTATGCCGTGGCCAGATCGTGCACGTTGCCCGCAACACTTTCCTGACCCTTCTTTTGGGCATTTTGAAGTTAAAACGATTTCAGATTAGATATTAACGACAACTCCAAATTCCCTGGAACACGTTTTTATGAACCAAGTTAACTGTGAGGTGCCAATGGTGAGGTGATAGTCACCTAAGGTTAAGGTCAAGGTCACGTATGGGCATTCTTCGAAACCGTTAAAGCATCGTTAGATCTTTCACAGTGTGTCAATATCATCGTCACACAAGAGACCTGCAAGTGTCAGGTTATCGAAGGTAAAGGTCATGAAGAGCCATGGAATGACATTGAGCGACCCTGCATTACTCGTGGGAGCGTCATTCTCTTACTCGCATCAGTTTCATATTGTGAGCATATGCGAAGTTCCGCAGAGACGACGGAAAACTGGATACGAGTTTTTCGTGGCGGATAACGAGTTTGTGTTTTAATGCATTCTTTTTTATTAGCACACGCTTTTAATCAGCATTATTGCATGGCAACTTTTCATTGGTTATTGTAAGCCAGGGCTTAGTCATTAACGTTTAAGCAGTAGATGCAAAAGTATATCGCCCAAATTGTGATTTGGGGTTATCCGAGCTCTCTTGGCTTTATATTTATCTCATTAATCAGAATGGACTGCATGAAAAAATATGACTCGTGGGCTATTTTGGGCTCTCAAACAATTTCCCCCGCCACGAAACGGGACGGCGACACTGTCACAACGGCGCCGCTGCCAAGGGAAGCTCGCTATGGCTGCTCTGGTGCTCACCTGGCGCGCAGCTGCGTCCGCGGGGGCTGACCCTGGCACAGACCCAAGAATGCTACGCCGCCCAGCTGGGCGACCATGCGGTGATGGGTCTGCGCGCGTGGCGGGTGCTGGCAAGAGGACAACATGTGTGGACGTGATGCCAGAGGGGTTAGGAGTCTTACGTTAACGTTTAGTTAACGGCCTTACGTTTACATTAGGATTCTACGTTTAACAGTGCTCCACATTTGCATAAAGTTTTGACCTGAAATAACTATTTTGAAGAGCATTCGTTGCCGTTCGCAGTCATGATGTCCAGACTACTTCAAGGTCATGCAGGCGTTCATGACGTCATAGTAACGCCATTCAGATCCAGCGATTTCATAGGCTATGTGGCGTTCAGGGTCGAGGAGAAAACTGTCGTTGAGCCGTTCAGATCTGGAATCCGTCAGCACGTTTTAAAATATATGGACCGTGAATTGACTCTCACTCAATGCGAGCAGGCTGTGTAAGTTTCGATCACGAATCGCGTTTTCTACGACATGATATGAGAAGTTTGACGTGATTGCTAGTTGTTAACGGAAATAAAACTGGCAATCTAATCACTTCAGAATAGCGTCGTGACTGTCAATGTGAGACAAGTAAACATCTTAAACTCACGAATACATTTGCAAGAGCGCCACGAGAAAGGGTTGCAAACACGAGCCCACAACGATATTCTTCTTAGCGAACGCTTCTAGCACCACCACCACCATATCTCGGCCAGTTTGAAGCACTTTAAGTGTGTGCTAGGGTGAGAATTTCGTACGGAGGGCTTGGCAGTACGTCAACTTCAAAGGTTCCATTACGCAATCAAACAATGGCGCATTGAGGAGCGTATTACTAAATGGAGAAACTGTGCTAACTAGAGCAGTCGTTTCCATTAAAAAGTATACCGGTAGTTATAAGCAACGGATGCCACCTTGCATTCTTTTGTTACACGGGTGTCAGATGTCGGTTTCCTTTTTTGTCAAAAATTCTTCGTCCGTTGTTTGTCAACATTGTCTCCCCAGGGGCGACGACATTCCCAAATTATAAACGTCGACAAGAACACTTTGCTGCCATGGAAGCGCTTGTGAAGCAATCTATCCTCTGTTCTCAGCTTCCCCCAGCACCTCAAAGACTGTTTAGCCTCCACGCAGGTCTACATGGTGTGGAGAGTAGCCAGCCGACGAGCCGAGGCCGCCGTTTATCTATGCTCGGTGGACCCCGTCACCCTGCTCGGCTGACCGGCCAACACTCTTCTCGGGCCATGCAGAATGGCGCTGATCGGACGGGCGACGCTGGCGGACTGGGCGACGATACGCGGGGGGTTATGGTCGCGACGTCAAGGATTGCCCAACCGATGGAGGCTCAATAGCCGTCTGACCACGGCCGAAGCCGCTCTGCGGTCGCATGTGGACAGCCGCTCTCACCATCGCAGACGGCGGCTGTGGCGTGTGCACCGGTCAGAGGCCGTCCAAGGTCGCTGAGGGCGGGTGGGGGGGGGGGGGGGGGGCTCGGTGACAGGAGCAGCATGACCAGTTAAGCGGGTCAGAGCCCAGCAGAGACTCTGAGCCTGAGAGACTCTGAGCGGTCAGTACAAGCCATGAGAGGCTAGTGGAAGCACTTGTTAAGGACTTCAGAGGAGTTCCGAGGTCCCGCTAACAAGAGTGCTTCTGGTGGCTGTGAGGGGAGCATTGTACGCCAAGAACGTCCCCAGGGTAGCCAAATTGGACCCACTGAGCATCCAGAGGTGGTGCGGTCTGAAATGTGGGAACCGTCTGAACTACTTTTGTGTTAATGCTCATCACATTTTGGGATCGGGGGCTCGGCACTGGTCCTCTCCCTCATGGGATTTCGAGTCATGATTGCGCGAGTCTGCCGAGGCTGAGTTATCACTGATGGGGAAGGCAACATAGCAGGCCGCACTCTGGAAAGGGGGTGCCCCGCCTTAAGTCCGCTTTTTTCGCAGCAGATATCTCACACCGTGTTGCTGTTTTCATCATAATCATAATCACGCCGTAAATGTTGTTATCTAACCAGTTGATACTAGGCAGTGTGTGCTAACGTCGTGCCCGTCCAACGTCCAGACTCTAAGCTGCTTACAAGAATTACTTGGGATGTGTCCTGGCCGAAGCATTGGCTGGCATAGATGTCAATTATTTTTACACCGACTGGTCGACCCAGCTGACCCCGGTACGGTGCATTAAGATCTCCTGGTTCGGGCCGTTTCGTTTCACGAAGTGGTGCTGTCGCTTGGCTGTTATCGACTGGCTGCACCGCAGCGTGCGTTTATTCAGTCGCGCGGCTCATGTACCAACACCTGACCCGACGCACCACGTACAGGTACCGTCCGTACAGGTACCGTCCGCGCGATTCAGGCACGCGGAACCGGATTCGTGGTGCAGGCTCCGACCGTTATGTACCTTACTGTAACCGTGCGTGTACCACACCGTGCCGTACCGATCCGTACCATACCGTACCGAAGCGTCAAACCGTAATCTACAGTGATACGTGACGGAACACACGATGGTACCAACGAGGTACGAGGGTACCAACACGTAGCCGGATTCGTGGTACAGGCTCCGACCGTTATGTACCTGACTTAATCATACGTGCACCGCACCGCACAGTACCGATCCGTACCATACCGTACCGTAGCATCATACCTTAATGTCCAGTGATACGTGACGGAACACACGAGGGTACCATTACCGCTTGGACGGTTCAAGCACACGGGACCGGACACACAGGGCCGTTGTGAACACTAGTAGAGCGGACTTGCTGAGTGCCCGCCTGGGTGCCTGGCCAGGACTGCACTCAAGGTGTAGAGTGCCACCACAGGCGCGCTGCCCTCCAGACGAGCATTATTCCCCTGGGTATGTATCCAGACGAACGTTTTTGTCGTCACCCTTCTCGATCCGCAGACTCAGTTGCCCCGGCCCACGCTCAGCCGCGTGGTGCTCCACCGGCTACCTGTCTTTGTTTCGCCCCCGCCCCCCTCCCCCAACACCCCTACGGCCCGGCGGATCGGTGGGTGTGAAACGGTTCTTCTGTTCTGCGACGGGACCGTAAATCGGTGTCTCCTGTCAAGACGAACGCGGGAGCCCCGGCCGACATCGCGTTGTGAGTCCCCAGTGTGCCGGTCCACTTGGACGGCCGCCAGACGGGATCGTGTTGCATGTCAGCCACTCAGCTTCAGAGGGCCTGGCGTGGATGAACTGCATGTGCATGGAAGGAAGGTACGCTTGGTTACGAGCCAAGCGAGACGCCGAGCGAGCCCTGCTAGGAGCATGAGATGATCTTCATCAGTGCGGTCAAACCCGCCAAAGCTAACCAACTGGAAGCGTACATTGTTGGAATCGCCTGTCGCACCCGCTTGCAGTTTCGTTGACAAAAAACGCACCTGTTTTATAGCTGCACTGCATGAATTGGTTTGCAATGCGGGCTGATTTCTTATTTCTCCACGTTTTGTTTATAGTGACGCTGCAATGTTGGAGCGGTTTGCTCACCTTCATCATTCACATAACGTGGGCACGTGAAAAGCGAAAAAGCTGAAGAAAGCGGCCCGTGACCAGGTCCAGATCTAGAGAGCCATAGATAGCAGTAACATGAGAGTAATTGTAACGACCTTGGTTTATTATCATTTGTCATACTCGAGCGGATAATGCCAGGCGATTGGAGTAATGTCCTCGTCGATGACACTGACCAGAACTGACCCGCAGATGAGTCAGTGATCAGCAGGCAAGAAGCCAATGTCATCTTTTCCAAAACCTGCCTAAAATACAAGCTGCGGCATGTAAACCGAGGAAAAGGAGCCATGCAAACCAAATAACTCAATAAGTTAGTTTCTTACGACGGGCATCCAATTAGATTATAACCGCACACCTGAATAACTTTGACGAAGTCGCCAAAGATGTAAACCGATCTCTATTTTCCTGCCAGTCGATGCACATGATGATCGCACATGAACATGTACCACAAGCTCCTTGATCTGGCCATGACGTCCTGTAAGCTCCAGACCATTCCCCCTGAAATAATTTCCCTTTTTATAAAAGATGTGTGACACGTTAAAGTTTGCGGTAAGTACGAAATAACTATGTCTTCAATTGTCCGACAAAATTTATTTTAGGGACCGAAACCCAGCTGGCTTACTTCAGTGCCCGCTGGATCAGATTCTTGGCGACGACTGTAACTGACGTGATTAACGCGGAGCTGATGATCTCAGCGACCGGCCCGGCCGTCAGTGGTGACGTCACGCCGTCCCGGTGACGAGGCCACGGAGCCGGCGGGCTCAGCAGAGCCGACCGCGCGGAAGGGAAGGACTGGCGGCAAAGCGCTGGCGTGCTCAGAGAGCGTGCGATGGCTCCACGAATCTGCAAAGCCTTTTGGACAACGCAGCCAGCCTCTGGGGTTTCGCCTCAGGCGAAGGAAAGCGAATTGGGGAACCGTTAACGTGGAGGCTGAGAAAGCGACTGGGAGGGGAAAGGCCGGCAACAAGTCAGAGGCGTAACACCACACACGTACATGCACTTGTGCGGTGTGGGGCGTGCGCGTGCGTCCTGCATGCGCGCACCAGAAACACTAACAAGCACCACTCAGATTCCTGCCAGAAACATCGCGAGACCCCGGGGCGCGGCAGGGCCGCCGCAATGCAGCGAATAAGCGTTGTGCCTGGGGCACTGCGATCACGGCCGGATGCAGCAGATTGAAGCTAGTTACCTCAACAGACCGCAGTTGGGGAGGAGAGCCGGGGGCAAAGTGGTCCAACTAGAGATGCCAAAAAAAGAAAGCTGGGGCTTGCCACAGCGCGGGCAGTCGGTAGTGAGCTCTCGGCCCCGCACTGGGAGCCGCCGCCCGGACGAGGCCAGTTCTCTGCCCGCTCATGGACATGCTGGACTGGGCTGAGCGCACCGGAGCCGGCGCTAGTGCTCGCACCAGCCGGGTGCTGTCGGTCCTAAGTGGGAACCTGTATTTAGGATCAGGCCCATCCGAAGCGGGCTTTTCAAGTGTTTGAAACAAAATTTTACAGCTTGAACAACCACTTCAATTTCAAGCGACCCACCGATTTCCATATTTTTCACTGTCAGGAAGCACACCACATTATGTTTGTAATCACTTTTTTGAGCCCTTGCCTCTTAAATGCATACCCATAAATGGGTCGACAGAAACGAACTTGGAATTTGTTCAGCAACGCTGATTCGCACATCTACATTGGAGTTCCAGATAACTTTTATTTTTCCAAATTTGTGTACTTTGTAGGTTGTCGTTCAAGTCTTATCCTTGTTTTATTGTTGTGGTACTTACGTTATGGCAACGAGTTCATGCATAGTTCAAATGATATGCTTTTTTCAAACAGACCACGGAAAATTGCTGGTACGCTGGCGCTCATTGCCGGAGTACGCGACACATAAAGATCGGAACGCTTCAAATAATTTGAAACATAAATCAATGAAATTTTTAAGTTTGAAATGTATTTGAACCGTCATTTTAAATTTTGACCTCCTTAACTGTAATATTTTAACAGCCTGAAACCTATCATTCGATGGGGCGATTTAGAAAACAAATGGCTCACTTCACAACTCAGGGAAGTTAAAGGTGACCAAGGGCTGAAAACTCTTAGCATCACTCATTAAATGTTAGCTGCATCCTGCTTTCAAAACCTAAGGCTGGATTCCCAGGTTGGGTCGAAATGACGTCACAAGTCGTCGACTTCAGTAGTATTCGGCTCAGATCCTGTCTCTTGTAAGATTCCACAATGTAAAATTGCGCTGGGACCATAACCTGAGCGGGTCCAGATATTTATCGGGGTCTATTGGTGTTTAAAAAGAAGCCGACCGCTGGGGCTATCTTGTGCCCAGATATTTGCTATGGGGTCACTCGGGGACCATCCCAGGTCGAGCCCTAATGTCGCCATGAATATATTTTTGGTGTTAAGTTGAACTCCCGAGCTCATGTGATGCCCACGTTAAACCCATTTTCCACGCCGATTCGATTCAATCTTCGCTTCGTTCCTGGCCAATGTTCAACAAATGCACGGACTTCCAAACGCCGAGTTCTCCCTGAAACGAATTTATAAACATGTGTTACTGGAATGATTATGTAAGCATGTGTTCGGGATTGCGGCTGATATTGCACCTGAACTCTTATCTAATCGCGTTCTAGGGGCGGGCATAACTCAAAGCAAATGCTGTATAATTATTTTTTCATAGATAATACAATAGTGATAGCCTCATTCCTCAGATAAAAACCAGGAGAATGGAAATAAAGTTGGGTTGATATTGTGGCAACATGCCTTTATCGAAACAATATCAGAAGTGAATTCAAAATTGCTTGCCGATAATCCTACCCGATTTTCAGGGTTCTTCTTGGAAATGCAAGCGACAGCTTTTACAGGATACCAACATTCAGTGGATTGAGCAAGAGCGATTGCCAGCCATTACCACGATACAGTGCCTATCTAAGAACTAAAATACGCGAACATACGTGTGCATGCAAACGAATTCAAGGAAATAGCGTTTGAAGTGAGCGAGTTAAAGTAGTATTCAGTCGCTCGCATAACTGAATGAAGCGTGATGCGTGATGCCTATTTGCTTGAATTCTTTTGTATGTACACGGATGTTCGCGTATTCTAATGCCTAGGTAGGCGCTGTATCGTGATGATGGCTGGCAATCGCTCTCTGTTCAATCCGCTGAATGTTGGTGTCCTGTAAAAACTGTCGCTGGCTTTATAAAACCTGAATGGCGAGTAGCATCAGCGACAGGTAATTTTAAATTCACATCTGCTTTTGTTTCGATAACGGCATGTTGCCGAAATATCAACCCAACTATATCTCCATTCTCCTGGTTTTTATCCGAGGAATGAGGCTAATACTACTGTCTTATCTACGTGACTAATGCTCCTCGCTAATGCACTGAACAACTTACGTAACGTTTTCATTTGGGGTATCCCATGCCGCCTGTCGTACACAACATAGCCCGTTGTTGTACAAGTACAATCATCGGAAAAGCGTCCAAATGTGGTGATCGCCCTGACAGAAGATATTGCTGAATGCATGTAAACAAATTGTGTGTAGTACGCGGCGGACGAAATGAGCTTTGTTTTCAGTTCCATAAAGTCATTGATAAGAATCAAACCAAAACATGTTCATTTGTTTTACTTATACCATTCATGGAAGCATCTTTTTCCACCGGTATCAGCTGGACCTTCATCAGAAAGGCTGTTTGGAAGCGTCTCAAAAGTCATATCTTCTCTGGAATTATGTTAATCTGGAATTATGTTAAAACATGAAATGTTTAATTTCATAATACCAAAGAAGGTTGAGGAATGCACTACTGATACGAGAGTGAGACCAATGAAGGTTGAGGAATGCACCACTGATACAAGAGTGAGACCAAAGAAGATTGAGGAATGTACCACTGATTCGAGAGTGAGAGAGTTAACTTGTGTTTGTGTTTACGAGTGTTTACTTGTGAAGTTATTCAACAGTGCTACGATGTACTTGTTTTTGTGATAACAATACATATAGAAGTACAGGTACACAAGAAATATCGGCTAGCAGTCATAATCTAGACATTTACATAATGCATGCTCCGCTCAATGCATTTCACCTTGTTTCCGACACAACAGCGGGCGCCTCGCATTGGTACGCGCATCCACGTGACGTGACCTGCACCGCTAACCTCGCCTCCACCTGTGACCTCAGGAGGAGGAGCCGAGCTGACGATGAAGCTGCACGAGTGGCTGCTGCTGTTGCTGGCCTACGTGCTGTTCCTGCTGGTCGGCGCGGCGTCGTTCTACTTCCTGGAGAGAGAGCAGGAGAAGGACCAGGTGCAGCGCGTGCTTCAGCTCAGGAAGGACATCCAGGGTAAGACGAGAGATTCTCCAGTTTGAGGGTCGAATCCAGAGTAAAACGCACGCGGTTCAAAAATTATATCCGGAGTAAATAGGTTCAAAAATTATAGCCGGGGTGAATAGGTTCAAGAATTATAGCCGGGGTCTGAGTGAGAGGTGAGATCCAGGGTAGAACACTTGGTACTCCACCTCAAGAGAAGCATCGGCAGTAACTAGATCACATGCGGTGCGATCCTCGCGCCATTTAAACTTGACCGGCGCGTGACGCACGCGAGATAATCGTTATACAATGCACGTCTATGATGCTGCTATTGCCCTGGTGCACACTGTTGATGCAATCTCACCGTAGTTTGTTGGTGTAAGATACACGTTCAACACCCTCACGTTTACTGCTATCTTGACGGCCCCTCGAAATCTGTAGGCCCGCAATGACCAGATACGGTCTTGTGCCGGCGTTGAATGGCAAACAAAAACACATTTATCGTGTCTTCAAGGTGTGGTCATGTTATGAACTATTCTGATATGTGAGCTGGCACCGAGATAACTTAATGATCCGCAATTTGTCTGCAATCTTAAACAATAAGGTATAGACTGAGCACTTCGGATTGGTCGTGGTTTTTGCCTGTCACTTCCTTGGGTTACGTTTATGCCAACACAAACCACGCAAAACTATACACCAGCAAGAACACCGACAGTAGGGCCATCGATGTTCGGTGCTGAAAGGCTCGAGGAAATGCATCCCTCGTCACTACGTCAGTGCATTTACTAGCTGACTGCATTGTCATTGTCATTGTCATTGTCATTGTCATTGTCATTGTCATCGTCTGTCTCTCGTCACGTCTGCCCTCGAAGCGCCCTCCGCATGATTGTTTCAGCGCTACGTTTGCGTTACGTTACGTTACGTTTCAGCGATGGCCTGTCAGCAGCAACGCGTGCTGTTGTTAGGTACCCCCTCGGCTTATATTACAGCTGCTCGTTCTGACGCCGCCCGCTGCTGCCACGTGCCTTAATGACCTAACAACCTGACACTGAAGACATGGGAGAACGCAGGAGATGGAGAACACTAGAGACACACAGGAGAATGCTGGAGACACAGGAGAACGCTTGAGACGCAGGAGAGTGCTTGAGGCACAGGAGAACGCTGGAGGCACAGAAGAACGCTGATGCCGTGTGACTTGATACCTGCCGTTGTTTTTCCTTGACCCATGCTCCACGACCCCTGATGCCACTTATCAAATGGCCTTATGCCGTGCTAGCAGAGCTGAGATTTTTCCACCCATCCTCACACGTGATTTATTTTCTTACTTTGTTTTCACCAACTGGCCTGATGATGCTCTCCCTTTGCCGAGGCTTTCAGAAATCGATGCCCTCACCTCCGCGCAGCTATGTCTGGATGACCTGAGACTCTTCTCCTGTGACGGATATCGTCATGACCCCTGTGACCTCACGCTCGACTCGTCTTCGGCCAGAGGAGCTGATAGAGGGGGAGAACCGAAGCACGATGACCCGTCGGGCGGAGCTGCTCGACAGGATATCTGGAGAGTGCCGCGTGGACATCACGAACACCAGCCGACCGCCGGCCACCGTCTGGACCGAGTACAACAGCTTCTTCTTCTGCTTCACCGTCGTCACCACCATAGGTGAGGCAGTGAGTGCACCTCACGGTCGCAGGGAAGCACTTTGTCACCACCACAGGTGAGGCATATTGGAACCCGCGTCAGCGTGGCAACGTCAATCATCATCGGTTACTTCACCTCATCATCGGCCATCAACATCATAGGTGAGCCGGGCGGAGGCTCCGCATTCTGGCCATCCGCGGTCGTCACCGGCCATCACAGTCATAAGAGCACAGAAGCTGCACCGCGAGTCGGTAGACTCACACCACCACACCGAGAGATGGATGTGGAGCCTTGCGGCGAGATGACTCACTGCCGTCATCTGTCAAGGCTGGTCACTTCCATGACACAAGACAAGACACACGACACAGGCGACACAAACGCGGCGCTGTGCCAGCGTTACGTCTCAGCAGCCGCCACCGCAGTCGTCATGATATTGTCATAGGTGAGCCTGCGGCGCAGGGAACGTACACCCCACGACCGCTGCAGATTGTCATCATTTGTCATCATCATCACCATGTGACAGTGAAACCGGGATTTGGGATGCATCGCGTGGCTTGTGGCTCGGAATAACAATTTATGATCAAGAGTGTCTTGAGCCCCATAACGAATCCCAGGCAGCAGCAGTTTGATTGCCACATGCGCAATGATGTAAGTGCTAATGTTTTTGATACAAATACACTTATGCCCTCTTCGATGAACATTCGCGCACTCTGATCGGTATTAGCAGCAGCCTGCTGGACCGGCACGCAATAGACAAGGCCGTAACTTATCTGCGTCGGTCACTGTTTGTAGACTGCACAGGGCTGTATGTCAACCTGGCGTTTGATCTATCTGCACTCAGTTGTGATTACACCCACCGGAAGAAGTTGTGATGGCGTTGGTGGATCATGGTGTAGCTCGATGACTAACGTTCCGCTAAATTAAAGCAATCCATTTACTTCACAGAGTCCCAAGGTTCACTATTTGCGTAGTCAAATTATATGCAAGCACGGACCAGCTGGCAATTCTTAAGGGCTGGCAGACAGTCTGTGACACGAGTAGTATACGTCGGACCTGCCTTAGCATATTGGCATAATACAACTTCACTGGCGACACACTCGACTGCATACTGCGCAGAAATTGTAACGACTTGTGCTAATCTCGACGACCGCGGTGCACGTCGCTGCAGGATTTCTCGATCTGGCAAATGGTCTGGTAACTGCCAAGAACTTTTTCAGCATCCAAGGATTTCGATTAGGCCTTTTTCAGGATTTCGATTAGGCCAGCATGCGTTGGCAGGCTGCTGACGGGGCACTTACGAGGGCTGCAAAGCTGGCGAAATAATCAATATCCCTGAGAATTATCCACTAGCAAAAACAGATAATGCCCAGGTTTTATCCATATCCTGTTGAAGTTATTTGAAATGGCTGGTCAGTGTGCGGTTTACAGCTTTTAACCTCTAAAGAGCTAGTACCGGCCGCTATCCAATACCCCCCCTCCGCAGGCTTCCTGATGGCCTGGGCGACAGACGCAGCGCAACATAATACCTACGCTGCGAAGCGATTTTCAACGCTCGCAGTTAGTGCTTTCTGTCAACTGCACCTATATTCTACGGAGTCACTTCTGAGGATCCGCTGGCTGACGTGTTCCAACGTGGCTTTGGATATAAGCTTGTTTGCGTTAAAAATGCTGTTTATAGGGAGCGGGCATCGGTATCGGTATGTTGCGGTTCTGACAGGCCTTATAGTCTCCGATGGTAACGTCCGTAAAACGTTAGTGTCGTCTGCCAGCTGTGGTGTCAATGTCCTGTCGTGTTCGTATTGCTTGTTGTCCCGAGGTGCCCCGTCATGTAAGTGCATTGCCAGGCGTCGTGAGAGTGTAGTTGTGATCACACCAATAAAGTGTGTGGAACGAAGTTTGCAGACGCCAGAACAGCGGTCGAAGAAGTTTGAAGCCGACAAACTACAAAATGAGAACATAAGACCGGACATTACTGTCGCTATGTAGACGATATATTTGTGGGAGTTACGGTCATTGACTAACTAGAACGTCTCAAAAAGCGCTTGAAAAGGAGTCTGGTTTAAAATTCACAAAATAGCTAAGTGTGCAAAATATCGTGTCCTTTCTTCACGTGACTGTTGGTGGACGACAACTTTTCTTCACGTGACTGTTGGTGGACGACAACAATTCAAAACGACTGTATACCGAAACAGGCTAACAACGGACGGCGCTTAAATGCTGATAGTGAGTGCCCTCGAGGCTACAAAATTAGCGCCATAAGGTCATTCATTGGACGAGCATTTGATCCCTGCTCTGATTGGACAGGACTTCATTCAGAATTGGCAAGAATCAGACAGATCTTGGTGAACAGCGGTTTTTCAAATTCTGACGTTGAGAACGAAATACAACGACGTGTGACAAGACACTGACAGCAAACCAAGATAAGACAACCAACCAATCGTCAAAACTGTATTGTTGAAACCAAATGGTATTTGCCCTCAAACAAGACGAAAAAGCTCTACGGGAAATCATCTCTCGACATGTAAAAGGCGAGAAGGACCACAAAATAGACGTTGTCATTCATTATCACAATAAGATCTCTAGCTTTCTTATGAGAAACAGCCCAGGGAAGCCCCACGAACTAAAATGCACCAATAGAGCGTAACAATTCGAATGCAACATCGAAGGTTACAAACTTCGTTCCATACACTTTATTGGTGTGACCACAACGACACTCACGACACCTGACAATGCACTTACGTGACGGGGCACGTCTGGACCACATGCAACACAAACTCGACAGGGCAGCGACACAGCAACTGACATACAACACTGACTTTTACGGACGTGCAATGACAAGACGCCTTCAAATTTGGGATAGTATGTTCATTAACGAACTCTCTCCAGCCCCAATCAGATCCACAAATTTTTGTACAACTATTAGGTGGTGGGCGGTGAGCACTACTGATGTGATTGTCGCAATATGTTTGCGTTTTTGTAGTGCTCCCAATATGAGTGTGTTTATATTATCAAAGTGGAAATGGGATTCTGTCTCATTTCAATAAGCCATGCTTCATTTGTATTCTCCGCACCAAAAGAAGTTTTGAAATATACTTGTACATTATATATAGGTATATCAACAATTATATATATATATATATATATATATATATATATATATATATATATTATTCGCCCTTGCAATACCAATCACCAGTTGAAAGAAGTCCTGGGGGGAATTGCACAGCGGCCGTCGGGATTGACATATATATATATATATATATATATATATATATATATATATATATATATATATATATGGTACGTGAAAACTAGTTTTGCTGCTGCGAGGTTCAGAAAAGCTGGCGGCTGTTGATCCTCGGATCAGTGATTTTAGCGGCGCGTTACCAGAAATCTGTTGTGCACATATCTTGTGTGTTTACCGGAGTACAGTCAGGGAGTGGCGGCAAATTACGGCAGTAAAGAATGGTAAAGATTGCGACGCTCCGGCGCTCCCTCCTTGCGTCAGATCCAGCCGAGATAAGTGGTATCGCGTCCCCCTGGCGCAGGAGAGTGATCAGCCAGCGTCAAGTGCCGCGACGCGAGCCCTTCCAACGCGAACAAGCGGGCTCGCGCGGCTTTATGACGCGCCATTAGATGATCGCGCGCTGTCCGCGTGCAAATCTGTGCTTATCGGGGAGTAGAGATTGTCGAGATTTTTGGGCCTCCGGCACGCACTGCGACGGCGACGCTGAAGGATGGCTGTAAGCAAGGAACATCACCGAGTAGGTTGTGAAACATTGCGGATGAAGGAAATTTGTAATCAGGGCTGTTCATTTTGATAAATATGTCCGGAGCGCGTTTAACTTCGCTCGGTCAACTTAAGTGCATCACTCAAATGGTAATTATCTTTAAAGACCGAACAAAAGTCGTGGCAAACGTCTTTCGCCATCGGCAACAACGCGTTCGGCATCAAGTGCGTCAGGACAAACAATATCGGCACGAGACACACCTCGAATGTGGTCCTCTCCAATCTGATCTGACGCCGGGTAGGCACACCCGCGACTCGATTCAGTCGACACCGTGCACTTGCACCCCGCCCCGACGCCAGACTCGCGTTTATTTCGGCACCGCCTCTCGCCGTCCTGTCCTCGTGCCAAGAATGTCATTGACAACGCGATGCGAAGGGGGTGACGCGGTTGAACGTCCTCCCGTCGCCTGCGCGAGCAGACTCCGAGCGGGCCGTGCCATAATAGGGGTCATGTTGACTGGGCGAGGGTCATGTCACTCTCCCCTCGGGCTGTGTCGCCGTGGTGTGAGCGTAGCTCACCCGCAGCGGGCCTGCCGGGGAGCACGATGGGCGGTCACTCCTCGTCAGACAGCTTCGCAGTATGGTGTTGTTTGAAGGTATTATAAGACTATTGTAATATGATAACTGTACATTGCCAAACACTAACGACTGAAGAAAGCGCAAGACTTTGTGAAATCCTTGCTGAGAGGCTGCGTTTGCCTCTCGTTCAAGGCCCTGTCGGACCCTGTTTAATTTTCCGCCGGCTTTTGATGCTAAACGCTTTGAGCGGCGCTGGGCAATTTAAGTAAACCTTTAGTTCATTTGAGCCCACCTGAACAGGCGGCGACCGTACGAACCTCAATGGCGGCGTGTTGCAAAGTCCAGATTCCAGACATGACATATGCTGAATATGCTTTGTCGTCAAACGTCTTGCTAACGCTAATGCGCTAATGCCAATGTCAATGTCAATATCAATGTCAACGTCAATGCTCATGCTGATATGAATGCCATTGCGAATGAAAATATCCGATGTTGCTGATGATGTCAACTCTAACGCCAATGCCAACGCCGATGCATCCATGCCGATGGGGCCGTGACGCTGAGCGTAACCCAGTGTGACACTGAGCGTAACCCAGTGTGACGCTGAGCGTAGCCCAGTGTGACGCTGAGCGTAACCCAGTGTCTGGAGCGTGCGCGGTCGGCGGTCGGCGCGTCGGACGTCGCTGTGTCGCGCCCTGCACCGCCCTGGATCCGCCTCTG